AACCATTTAGGAAGAGACCCAAAAACTCCTTAAAAATAACTACCGAACCCGTCTACGGCTTGGACTGTCTTTCTACGACCATCCCGGTCAACCGTTGAAAAGTTCAAAAGCCTTAATATTGACCAACTTTAGACAATACTTGTCTACGATCTATAGACCCCAACCGTAAAAATCAAATTTGACCATTAAAATTTCACTAAGTCCGGGACCTTCCTATGAGACATATCTATGACCCGTAGACCATTCGAAGAACTGTCCTGTTCACTCATTGAAATGTTCAAAAATTTGATTTTTTCAAAAATAATTTTATCTCTTTCTACGAGACTGGTCTACGATCTGTAGAAAGTTCTACGAATGGTAGACTTGTCTCATACACCTGAACTAGTAGACAAAATTTATGCAACCTTTTTCCTTCTCGAAATATGAGGTGTTCAATCTTAAGGCGCATCTTCTTTAGTTTCTCACTATGATGTTTTGGTTACTGAAGAAAAGAGAAAAGTAAGTTCAAAGTTCAGAATGACAGAACTAAAAGTAGAAGTAAGTCAAAGTCTAAATACAAGAATATTACACGTGACTATTCCATAAGAATTGACATATCAAGAAATATTATTATATGTACAAGAGAGATATGAGACAACAAAATAAAGATGATTATATTGAAATTTGACTTGCTATTATTTCTAAGGATGATATTCTTGTTGCTTGTGGTGAAAATGCCATTAATCTTGTTTATAATGAGTCTAGCTAGTTTGTGGATTCTGGTGCTACTTCACATGTGATGCCAAAGAAGAAATTATTTTCTTTTTACACTACATGTAAATTTGGAATGTAGAAAATGGACAATGATAATGAGGTTGAGGTACTTGGCATTAACACAGTTTGCTTGGAAAGTAACAAGAGTTCGAGACTGGTTTGAGACTAGTTCTCGACAAAGTTAAGTGTGCTCTAGATGTTTTCTTGAACTTAATTTCTGTAGGAAACCTTGATAATGAGGGTTATGTTAACACCCTTGGTAAGCTTACCGGGGGTTTAATGGTTGTGGCTTGAGGTGACAAGTTATCTATCTTGCATGTATTACACGGTTGCTTAGTAAACTTAGTGGAGAATGATACATCATCAGAGTTATGACATAGAAGACTAAGTTATATGATCGAGACGGATATTGATAGTTTGTCTATGAAGAATTTGATTTCTGGACTGAAATAAGAAAAGTTGAAGAAATGTGTTCATTGCTTAACCAGTAACCATGAAAAAAGTTATATTTCAAAGTCATCCTCCTTCAACAAGGCTTGATTTGCTAGAGTGTTGGTAATTTTTTATTTGTGTGGTCCTTTTAAAGTAAGGTCTCATGGTGGTGCACTTTACTTTGTGATTTTAAATGATGATCATTTTTACAAACTCTGGATATTCTTTTTGAAGCCCAAGGATCAAACATGGAATAAATTGAAATGCATCTGCATAGATAATGGTAATGAATATACTATTCCTTTAGATAAATATTGTACAAAACTGGGTCTTCGACATCAGAAAACTCCTCCAAAGACTTCTCAACTAAATGGTTTAGCAAAGAGGATGAAGAAAACTCTAGTTGAGAGGATTATATGTTTGCTTTCAAATGCTAAGCTGTCAGATTTGTTTTGGATAGAAGCACTTAATATTGTTACATGTATTATCAATTTATCTCTTACTATTTCTTTGAATGATGTTATCCTGAAGAGAGTTTTTTCTGATAAGAATATCTCTTATGATCCTCTTAAAGTAGGTATAAAGCCTTTGTGCATGTTCTTAAGGATAAAAGGTCAAAGTTGAATCTTAACACTAGGTACTGTATTTTTTATTGGCTATGGTGAAGACAGATTTGACTGTCATTTCTATGATCCAGTTGAGAAGAAACTTGTTAGAATACGTAGTGTTGTGTTCTTTGAAGACCAAACAATTGAAGACCTTCACAAAGCTGAGAAAGTTAATTATCAAAGAAGTGAGAGCTTAATTGATATTGATCAAGCTCTTTTGACTATTGCACCTGGAAAAAAAAACTTCAAAACGATGAAAATCAAGTTTATAATGAAGATGATGATCATATTCCCAATGGCCAGTATGATGTTAATGCTCAAGTGTAAGATGATGTAGTTGGTCATCAACGAACAATTATTGATGCTCCAGAGAGTTCTCTCAGAAGATTTACTAGAGTCAAAACACCTTCATCTATTTATTCTCTCAATGAGTATGTAGTATTGACCGACGTGGGAGAACCTGAGAGTCTTGATGAGGTCATGAAAAGTTAAGAAAATGAAAGGTGGTTTGATACTATGAAAGATGAAGTCTTCTCTACATGATAATCATGTCTTTGATTTGGTGAAGCTCTCTGAAGACAAAAAATACTTTGAAAATAGCTTAGTTATGAGGGTGAAACATGAAAATGGCAACCCAGTTCCATGGTACACAGTTATTTAGTTGTGAAATAATTTAACAAAAAAAGGAGAGGTGATTTTGATGAGATATTATCTACGTTGTGAAGATTTCAGCCATTCACGTAGTTCTAGGATTCGTTGCAAGTCTGTATTTAGAGGTCGAGCAAAAGATTGTTAAACCTATTTTTCTCCTTGGTGACATAGATGAAGAAACTTATATGGAGAAGCCGAAAAGTTTTGAAGTCAAGGAAAAAAAGAATTATGTTTTCAAAATGAAGAGGAGCTTGTATGGGTCTAAAACAAGCTCCCAAGAAGTGGTACAAAATATTTAGTTCCTTTATGAGTCAATATGGCTTCAAGAAGACTTCTTCAGACCATTGTGGTTTTGCAAAAAAAAATTCTTTGGCGTTTACCTTATCATTGTTTTGCTTTATGTTAATGACATGCTTGTTGCTTGTCATAATACTTACATTATTAAAAGGTTGAATCAAGAGTTGAATAAGTTTTTTGCTATGAAAGACTTGGGACAAGCAAGACATATTCTTGGTATGCAGATTGTCTATGACACAGAGGCCAAGAAGTTGTGGTTATTACAAGAAAATTACGTTCAGAAAGTATTTTGTACGTTCAACATGGACAAAGCTAAGGTTCTCAGTACACCTTTAGCTATGTACTTTAAATTAAACACGAAATAACATCCTTCCAATGATGATGACAAGGAAGATATGCAGAAATTTTATTAAGATTCAACCATTGGTAGTTTGATGTATGCAGTGGTTTGTACAAGACCCGTTATTTCTCATGCTATTGGTATTGTTAGTTGTTTTCTTTCGAATCTAGGAAGAGAGCATTCAAATGTTGTCAAATGAATTATGAGATATCTTTGTGGCACTTCTAGTCTGAGTTTCTGTTTTGGGACATGAAAATCTATTCTTTATGGTTATAGTGATTTAGGCATAGTTGCTGATGTTGATATTTGTAATTCCATTGTAGACAATTTGATACCTTTGTGGGGGAAGTTGCATCTTGGCGATCTAGGTTTCAAAATGTTTTGATCTATCTACTATAGAAGCTGAGGTTATTTTTGTTGTTGAATCTTGTAAAGAGTTGCTTTTGGTGAAGATATTTTTGGGAGAACTTGATTGTGTTCAAGAGAAGTACGTGCTTTATTGAGACATTCAAAGAGCTATTTACCTTGGCAAGAATTCTAAATTTTATGGCCAGTCTAATTTATTGATGTGAGATACCATTGAAATCGAGATGTAATGTATTCTAAGTTGCTTGAACTTGAAAAGATTCATACGGATGATAATGGTACCAACATGATGACTAAAGATTTTCCAAGAGGAAAGTTTGAAGAATATTGCATGATCGCCAGAATGGTGGTCTTTTCCACATAGTCGGGAGGGGGAGAATTATTGGATTTTGGGTATTTTCCCTTCCTACATGGATAAATAAAAGCCCGATTTGGATCAGTTCACTTTTACCCAAATGCCTTTTAATATGGTGCATAAGTAAGACTTCTTTTAGGTTTTGTTTTAATTAGTCACAAGAGAAAGATCAGCAACCACAAAAAGAGAGAAAAGTGATTATTGTGGTTTAGTGTTATCTTGTAGTATTGTTGCTCATTGTTTGAAACTTATTTGGTGAAAACTTTTGAGAACATATTTGTATCTTTTGTTGATTATAGTGGAGTTTTGGTACCAAAAATTTTACTCTTCACTCCGAAGATGTTTTCCACCTAAATCTTGGTGTCTCGTATTATGATTTAGTTTTGCCTTACTATATGTATTCTGGTGATAGGCTTTCAGCCCCAAACTTGGTTCGTGCTTGAATTTTTTTGTCTCCTCTGTGAATGAAATAGAAGGAAAAATTTAGACTTAGGTATTCTTCCACTATCACAATGTCACGCACCTTAGTTAGTGCTTGGCTTTCCCAAATGTTGCAGAAGCTTAGGTTGAACAAAGGAAAGACCCTCCCCCCTTTGGATTGGCTGTATTATTAGTGTAATGAATTTTAAGATCGTTATGAATTATGTCAGTATCGTAAGCACTAGGGACATAGGGACAAATATTAATGTTGACAAGCAAAAAGATTTTGGAGTATGAAAAAACTATACGAAAAGAAAAAAAATTTGAGTCATCTAATAAACCAAAGCACCAGTCAACAGTTACTAAAGAAAAATGAAAAAGTTGATAAGGAACAATTTATATATTGTCACGATCCAGACCATCGTAAGCGACACCACACTAACTCTCTAGTGGGAGAACCGTTACTATAACCCAACTAACCAAATTAACAAAAACTAAAGCATTTGAAGATAAGAAAGCATGTTTGAATGTCTAAAGGAAAAATAGGGAGTTCACATAAACTCCGAAGTCTAACGAAACAATTGTGGAAATAATACCTAGAACCTGAAAGTCAATGTACCAAAACATCTAATTCAACAAGTCTAAGAAAACGGGTGCAACCAAAACTAAACATAGGAATATCTAAAGTACTAGTCTAAGTCCAAATAGAAATGGACTAAACATAACGAGAACGCATGGAAGCCTGGAAGAACTAGCTCACCTGTGAATTCGATGTTGATCACTGATCTCCTAAACAAGGTCTTTCAATAGCTGCCTGAAGAAGCCCTGTACTCAACAAAGAAATAGCAAGTGCAGTATCAGTACACAACCACAGTGTACTGGTAGGATCACTCGACTATTCCAATAGTGAAACATACATAAGCAGTTGCAACATAGTAAACACGCATTTACCGAGCATATACAATATCAGTCATCTTATCAGAAGCAATGTACAATTCTAGATTCTCAATAATATGCATATATAACAAGTCATTGGTCCTCTCATGGAACCATACCCAAACTGTTAGTGTACCAGATCGTGGCACCTGTTCCAAGTTAGTGTGTCTGATCGTGATACCCGTTCCAATAAGTATGTCAATATATGACATCTGATCCAGTTAGTGTGTCGGAACGTGACACCCGCTCCATTCAACATATCACAATTACAATCACCATATATATTCTCACAATCATACAATCAAGTGTTGATTCATGGCATACAATCATTCGTACATACTCATTTGCAATAGGTGCGATCAACAATGCAACATTCGCATACATACATGCATTACAATGAAGCAATCACTAACATACATCACATAAACATGAAATCATAACCATCACCTACCTTGAACAAAGCTTGAACATTAAGAAACTTTATTCTTCCCTTTCCAAATTATTTCCGCTTGTTCTTAGTCTACAAACAATCAATATAATGCGAGGATCAATAAATGAGACCTAATTACCCATATTATAATCAATAATATCAAACCTAGGCCAAACACTTGATCCCCATACCCAGTTTAGGGATTCTTCCACCATAAATTCCAGATCAAAACCCTCTCTCATCGATAATTATCCAAGAAACTAAGTTCTACCGATTGAAAAATGTATTCAGGTAGAAAAAACCTTAGCTTTTGTTCTAGAAGAGGTGGAAACCTTCAAGAAATATCCCTGGGTCGTTCCTTAGCTCTCAAGATCGAATGTTGCAGAATAATAATGTTTTGGAGTTTATTTCCATCTTGAGTCGCGTCTGTCCCACTGTGGCGGACCTTATCCCTCACCTTGGTGGGTATAATCTAGCCTTGGCAGCTTGTACAAAGATAGAGAGTTAAATTCAGAGTTTCAAACCCCCATTTCACAACACACATTCAACCCATGACACACAAAAAATACCCATTCACGCTATGATCAGTTTCGGGAGTTCTACTCGCTTGAATTCGATTCTATAAAGTTGTACATGTTCCTTAACATCTTAGCTATCTACTCGTATGCTCAAATTCATAAATAGATCTCTCATTTGTTACCTGATATCCCTAGACATCACTAACTTTGATTTCATCCCAATCTTGACTAGGTTAGGAAATTCCAAGTTACTACCAAAAAGCTTTCTGACCCAATTCTTTCCCTATTGGCTTTTCCCTAACAACAAAATCAGGTCATTACAATAGATACCAATTTACCTATCACTCATACCTGAGTGATCAACTAGGAAAGACTGCCTAAAGTAAGAGTAGAGTAGTACCTGAATCGTCGAACAACTGGGGATACTTGTCTCGCATATCCTTCCCGATTTCCGAAGTGGCTTCCTCAACCGAACGATGCTTCCATTGAACTTTCAATGACTTAATCTCCTTGGTCCTCAACTTTTGGACATCAGGATCAAGAATTGCAATCGATTCCTCATCATATTGAAGGTTCTTGTCTAACACGACTGAGTCTCATTTTATGATGTAATCCCCGTCACCATGAAAGCTCTTTAACATGGACACATGAAATACCGGATGAACTCCTGATAAGTAAGGAGGTAAAGCCAACCTATATGCCACTGGCCCTACACGATCAAAAACATAAAATGGTCCAATGTATCGAGGACTAAGCTTGCCCTTTTTGCTGAATCTCATTACCTCTTTCATGGGTGATACCTTAAGAAGAATGTTCTCACCAGTCTGAAATGCCATGTCTCTTACCTTATGGTTTTCATACTTTTTCTGTTTACTTTGGGCTGCTAGGAGCTTAGTTGGATGCTTCTTACTTTATCGTGAGCATCTATGACCAAGTCAACCCCCAAAGGTTTCACATCTCCAGCCTCAAACCATCATATGGGTGATCTACATCCTCTCTAATAAAGTGCCTCAAATGGTGTCATATCATTGATAGAGTGGTAACTATTATAAGAGAACTCACACAAAGGTAAAAAAACATTATCCCAATGTCCTTCAAAGTCGATCACATATGCTCTCAACATGTCCTCTAACACTTGAATAGTCCTTTCTGACTGCCCGTCTATTTGCGGATGCAGGGTTGTGCTAAACGTGAGTTGTGTACCCAACTCCTCATGCAATTTTCCCCAAAACTTGGATGTGAATTGCGTACCACGGTCTGAGCTGATAGAAAGGGGCACCTCGTGCAATCTTATTATCTCTTTTACATACACCTTAGCCAATTGCTGAGCATTATAGTTTGTTCTGACCGAAATAAAATGGGCTGACTTAGTTAATCGATCAACCACTACCCAAATAGTATCATACTTTCCCAATTTCTTGGGAAGACCAACCACGAAATTCATAGCTATCCTTTGCCACTTCCATTCCGGAATTGGTATTCTTTGAAGTAAACCGGCAGGCTTATGGTGTTCATATTTTACTTGTTGGCAATTTTGACACTTAGCCACAAACTCCTCTATATCTTTCTTCATGTCAAGCCACCAATAAATTTGCTTCAAATCTCGGTACATCTTAGTCACACCCGGATGAATGGAATACTTCAAACCATGGGGTTTTTTCAATAAACTCTGAATTAAGGCGCCCACTCTAGGAACAAAAATTCTTCCTTTAAAATTGAGCACACCCCCCGCATCAAGAACCATATCTTGTGCTTTACCAATCACTGCTTTCTTTCTAAGCTCATTCAAATTCTCATCCTCAAATTGTTTGGCCTTGATCTCCTCAATGAAGATTGCCCTAACCTCAATGCTGGCTAACACCTCACTTTTTTATGAGATTCCAAACTGCGTGAACTTAGACTCCAAATGTTGAATTTCCTAAGCCAAAGGTGGCTTGGTTACACTCAAGCAAGCTAGACTACCCATACTCACCTCCTTTCGCCTTAATGCATCTGCCACCACGTTAGCCTTACCCGAATGGTATTGGATGGTCACATCATAGTGTTTGAGTAACTCCATCCACCTTCGCTGTCTCAGATTTAGATCTTTTTGAGTGAATACATGTTGTAGGCTACGACGGTCAGTAAATACCTCACACTTGACTCCGTAAAGATAATGCCGCCAGATCTTAAGAGCAAACAATACCACTCCCAACTCCAAATCATGTGTTGGGTAATTTCACTCATGAACTTTCAACTGCCGTGATGCATAAGCTATGACATTCTTATCCTGCATCAACATCGCACCAAAACCTAAATGTGAAGCATCACAATAAAAAATAAAATTTTTACCTTCAACTGGTAGTGTGCTATAATAGGTGTTGTGGTCAAGAGAGTTTTGAGCCTCTAAAAGCTCTCCTCACATTTTTCAGTCCATTCAAAAGGTACCTCCTTTTTTGTCAACCTTGTCATGATGTGTGGCAATGGAAGCGAAGTTCTTCACAAATCGACGATAATAACTGGCAAGGTCCACAAAACTCCTAATTTCAGTCACAAAACTTGGTTGAACCCAAACTACATGCCCCAAAAAGGCAACCTAAGTGAACCAAAATTCACACTTAGAAATATTGCATACAACTTTTGTTTCTCAAGAACGCCCAGAACAATACGAAGATGGTCGGCATGCTCTTTCTCTCTTTTCGAATAAACCAAAATGTCATCAATAAACACTATCGCAAACGAATCAATAAACGGTTTGAACACACCATTCATCAAACTCATGAAGGTTGCAGGCGCATTTTTCAATCCAAATGATATCACTAGAAACTCGTAGTGCCCATAACGGGACCTAAATGCCATTTTTGGTATTTCCTTAGGCCTAATCTTTAATTGATGATAGCCAGACCTTAGATCAATGTTAGAGAAAATGGATGCACCCTGCAACTGGTCAAAACGATCATCTATGAGGCAATGGATACTTATTTCGAATGGTGACTTTATTCAATTGTCGATAGTCTATGCACATTCTCATACTACCATCCTTTTTCTTAACAAACAAGACATGAGCACCCTACAGGGAAGCACTAGGACGAATGAAACCTTTATCAAGAAGTTCTTGGATTAGAGCCTTAAGCTCTCTTAATTATGCCGGAGCCTTACGATAATGAGGGATGCAAATGGAACGACTACCAGGTTCCAAATCAATGAAAAAAACTATATCTCTATCCGGAGGTATACCAGGAAAATCAGTAGGAAACACTTCTCTAAATTTTGACACCACAAAATTAAACTCGATAGAGGGAGACTCAACCTCAACATCCCGAATGTGAGCTAAAATAAGCCAAATAACCCTGCCCCACCAGTTTCCTAGGCCGAATGTAGGATATGATCTTAGCTGTCTTAGGCTTGTACACCCCTTTCCCACTTTAACTTTTCCCTACCGGGATCTCTAGAGTCACAGACTTAATATTACAATTAAGCACCCCATAATAGAAGGACAACCAAGTCATGCCTATGATTGTATCGAAGTCAGCCATATCCTAAATAACCAAATCAACATAAGTCTGAAAACCCATAAACAAGATAGGACAAACACGATAGACATTGTTGACTATGACAGACTCTCCAACTAATGTAAAAACATGGATGAGTGCATCAAGTACATCACAAATCATATCAAATCCCAAGGGAAACTGAACGGACACATAAGAATAAGTAGAACCCGGATCAAATAATAGTTTAGCCATCCGGTCACATATAAGAATAGTACTTGTGATCACTGCATCAGAAGACTCTACCTCGCTCTTGCTCGGAAAGGCATAACACTGAGCCTTGTCATCTTGACGAGCAACTTCCCCGCCTGGTTGTGTCGTACCTCTGCCTTCATTACCATTTCCCTGACCTCCACGGCTTTGTTAATTTCCTCCTAACCCAACTTGTGGACGTCCTCGACCATTATTATCATTTCCCGTAGGCACCGCTTCTCTAGTCTAGTGTTGCGAGTGGTCCAACATGCATGGGTGGGGACAATATCTCCTCATATGTCTAGGTTCTCCACAGTTATAACAAGTGCGATCAAAAGATGGCTTGTTGCCCGCTAAAGGTGCGGCTCCCTAGCTATCCTGAATAAAATTTTGATGTGGAGTTCCCGAATAATTACCTGTATAAGTGGGCAAAACGGACTAAATTGGTCGGGCTGCAGGTGCCAGCCTCGCTGAACCTCTGGAGTAGGAACCCTGAAAGTTACATGTGTTGTTAGCCTTCTTAGCTAATGAATTAGCTTGACTGTCTTACCTCACCCCCTCCACTTTTTTCACAAAATTTGTTACATCATTAAAACTTTTTCCTGCATAAGTCATGTGCACAGACAATACATGAAGCTCAAAATTCAGCCCCTTAACAAATAGATAGATTCTCTCTTCCTCAGTAGTTACCAATTGTGTAGCATATCTAGACAAAGCATGAAACTTAGCCTCATAAGCATCCACAGACATACCACCTTGCTCCAAAGACATGAACTCATCTTTCTTACGATCTCTCAAGGTCCGGGGCATATACTTTTCCAAGAACAGAGCATGAAACTGGGTCCAAGTAAGTGAGGGTAAAGCTGAAGATCTACATTCCACATATGTTCTCCACCACTGTTTAGCCTCCCCCTGAAATTGGAAAGTCACAAACTCTACTCCATGCTGATGGATAATTCCCAACTTATTAAGCCTCTCATAACAATCTAGGATGAACTCATAGGCGTCCTCACTCTCAGAACCATGGAACACAAGAGACTTTAATTTCAGAAACTTAGTCAACATCTCATGCTCATTACCAGTCATTATGGGACCCAACAAATGACGGAAGAAGGCATCAGTACCTAATGTTGCATCACCTTTTGGACTAGTAACAATAATGGGGAGGTTGGTTATGGGTTGAGTAGCTTGCATTGCTGGAGGGAGTCCAGGACCAACCAATCATTTCAGAATCGACATGATCTGTTGAGCTAACACTAGGTCTAAGGGAGGAACGTCGGTATTCCTAGCCGGTGCATCCTCTTCTTGTCAAACATCCCCTTCGTCCTAAATCTCCACATTCTCTCCTACCTCTTTATGATGCGGGGGAGGATTCCCATCTCTGGAAGCATTCTTAACTGGTACTCCATCCCTAGTAGGTGCTACCCTGCCTTGACCTCTATCATTTGCGCTTTCTCTATCCCTGCCTCGACCGCGACCTCTTACTGCAGATTTATAACGACCCAAGAGCACCTCCTAGTCGTTACCGGCGTATTTGACCTCGAAGAGGTCTTATACAATCCCTTAGCATTCATCATAACATGTATCATAGAATAAAGTCATGGAAAATTTAAAACTTTTACTTTGGAACTTCAACTTCACTTCATATATGAAAAATAGAATCTAACTTCGTCACAATGCACCATCTAGACATAAAGTATCGAAAATGGGACTTATCCCTTACGTCAATAAGAAGTCTTGAAATAGGAAAGTACAACAATGTCTTTCAACATAAGCAAAGAACTAAACATAGAAGCTAAATCATAGGGTCTTGTCCTCGGACTTGAGGACTCACCAACTTGGGGAAGCAAATCCAAGTGTCTTGAGAAGTAAGCTTGAATCCTCAACGGGCCGAACCTAAATGTTTGCGGAAAAGGGAGAAAATATGGGTTAGTACAACACAGGTACTATGTATGGCTACTATGCACAAAAACCATTGAAACATGCATAAAAGGACATTTGATTCAAAACATGCTTTTTACCAAGTAAATTTACTTTGCAAACAAATTAAGCATCACAATCCAATCCAACATAATATCATCCCAAAATGTAGACAACCTAAGCAATACTAGTGCAATGCAAAGAATAGAACCCCATAACCCTATTCAAAGCCAAGTATCACATTAAGCGACCTACTTCATGCATACATTCATAAGATCATATTTCATCATAACTTACTATATTCATAATGATCATATATAACATAGCTTCAACATACATAAGTCATAATCATCATAATCATAAGAGAACACTACTACAACAATCTCTTAGGATCCCACAAGTGCAATTTGCAAGAGAAGTCCCATACCCTCCCTTACACTATGTAGAAACCCTTAAGAAAGCCCTAGTAAGAGTTCACACCTTTCATACCTTCATTTACTGTTACATTAGGGAAATATTAAAATAACTGACATAGACCATGAGAGCTACATGGAATCCGGTGTTCTACACCCACACCGAAAAGAGAGGGTTAACACTTGCCTAAGGTGTAACCATTCGTACATAGCTATCTAGGTGGATCCACTAAGCTAGAGTCCTATGTTGGCAGATAGTTAAGGGTCAAGGAGATTGCTTCTAGAAACCCTAACATACTAAACGTAGGGTTTCCATCTCCTGAGACAACACATACCGTAGGTAATCCGGACTTGCAAAACGTGAGAAACCCATGTGGGGAGCAGGACTTACTCAACGTGAGACCCCCATTTCATTTACATGCCCTTTCGGTGCTAAGCATCTAATTCCCTTTTTTTAATCATCTTTAAGCATAACATAAGTTCACACTAGCCTTTCATAGACCCTTATGTAGACATCTTACCATAATAGTTCATATGTGTTCATAAGTGAGTAACAATTCTTTCACTTTAGAGACACTGAGCAAGTGAGTAAACCTTTCACTTTACATTACACTACAATTATGAGAACTACCTTTCAATCATATTGCAATCATACCATAATATACATACATACTTCATAGCTAATTCAAGTGTAGAGGGTTAAGGATGAGGAAACTAGGTCATCAACACCACAACAACACATTAGGTATAACATCATTACAATCTAAGTAATTCACCTTTCATACTTGAGTTCAAAGAAGAACCCACCTTCATACCTTTTTGCCTTTCGTGGGATATCCATACTTCAATTACCAAGCAATTCATAACCAATACATAATACAAGGTAATTCATGAAGTAATAACATAATCAACATCAATAAAAACAATTGACATATTCCCTTCATAGCCTTCAAGGCTTCATTCAAAGACTAAACCCTAATTTCATAGAAATTATACATAACCTATGGTAGAATCATCATACAAACTTGAATTACATAGCATTACATTCAATTCATAGCCTTCAATCACTATCCAACACAAACTAGGGTTAGAATTAGGAAAATAAGGAGAAATATAGGTCTCATGGGGAATTCTTCAAGAAACCACCAATACAACATAAATTCATCCATAATTGATCATATAACATCAATCATCAGTTTATCAATTTCACTTTAGAAAGAAGACCCACGTTTTTTATTTGAAACCTATAAATTGGAGATTTTGAAATTCATGTTGAAGGGACCTCTTGGGGAAATGAATCCCAAGAGTGATAAAAAACCATACCTTATTGACGAATTAACATGAAAATCTGAGTTGAAACCTTGGAGAGTTGGTCTTCTTCTTGAAGTTCCAATTTTCTTCAATGGAGTTCTTGAGAAGAGATAGAGAGAGTAGTGAGAAGGAGGAACTTTAGGTTTAAATCTTTAGGTTTTGTGTTTGAGTGATAAAAGTGAGGTAAATTGACTTAAGAATCATTATATACACGTTCCCTAAAGTACCCTAAATACCCCTCACTAAAATGGACTCTTTAATGAAGTAAAAATAGATTTCTGAATTTCTGCATTTTCGTCGCGGACTTGAGCTGTTCCCTGAAGATATTTGGAATTAAATTTCGAGACAGTAGAGTCCGCGACACGACCGCGTCGTGAACAAGATTTTTACTCCTTGGGGGAGCAAGGCCGCGACGTGCACCTATTCCCACCAAGTGCAATTTGCAAGCTGCCTTGACAGCTTGGTTGGCCAAGGATGGGGTCCTCCTCGGGGTCCCCTTAGGATGGCCCTGGGGAGTCGTATTCGAACGTTTTCACCCTATCAACATATATTTACCTATTTTAAACCTTTTTACAAGATTATACCATCATACACACCCAAACCTGCCCAAAACCTAAGGACACACTAGAGCACATTCTTCTCTAGTTTCCGGATGTCGTGGTCGTTTCTTGACGTTTAGACTTTTACTCTTCCAAACCAAGTCAATTACATTAGTTTAGGTTTATAAACATCATTTTAACTACTTTTAAGTCATTATTCTTAAGGTGAGGCTCTAACTTAAGTCATAGAATTTCTGGGGTGTTACAATATCCCCCACTTAGAAACATTCGTACCCGAATGTCACTTGGACTTCTTTCTCGAGAGACAATGACTCAAACTAGCAGCACAACAACCAGTCACATCAACAACATCATATCATCATATCATATAGGGATTTAATCCACAACATCACTATGGTCAAAACTCTTTACTTCACATAAGTATAGGAGGAACTACCTTCTCCATATTCAATGAGCATAAACATATATATTAAGCAATCAACTAGACATTTCTTTAACAAGACAACATCAAGCATTCTTATTACAACTCTCATGAAGACAACATCACACAACATCTATGTGTGCAATATCAACCATGAGAAACAAAATTCATGAAAACTCAAAATTCAATTTAAGCATGAATTTTCACAAAAATATGCACATACAAGGAAATCATGTCATAATCATCAACACACATGATTTTCAATTTATACCAAATTAAGAGAGACTACTAACCTCAACTATGGCTAGGAGTAGGAGGAAAAAGATGAGGGTAGTGGGACTTCATGTCGGCCTCGGCCTCCCATGTTGCACCCTCAACTAGGTGGTTTCTCCATAGGACTTTTACGGAGGCAATCTCTTTATTCCTCAAATTCTTAACTTGAGGATCTAGGATTTCGACTGGAACCTCTTCATAAGGAAGGTTCTCATTCACCCCTAAACCTTCTAGAGGGAGAATGGACACCAGGTCACCTATACACTTCTTTAACATAGAAATATGGAACACCGGGTGAACCGGGGCCAATTCAATGGGTAATTTCAACTCATAAGCGACCTTTCCGAAATGCTTCAAGATCTCATAAGGCCCAACATACCGGGGACTAAGCTTCCCCTTCTTACCAAACCTCATCACCCCTTTCATGGGTGAGATTTTTAAGTAGACCCAATCACCTACTTCAAATTCAAGATCTCTCTTTCTATTTTCAGCATAAGACTTTTGCCGACAATGAGCCATTTTCAACCTATCCCTTATAAGCCGAACTTTTTTCCGTAGCCCCATAGACTACCTCGGGACCAAGAAGAGCAAATTCACCTACTTCAAACCACCCAATAGAAGATTGACACCTTCTACCATAAAGTTCTTCAAAGGGTGCCATAGCAATACTCGAGTGGTAGCTATTATTGTAGGAAAATTCTATTAAAGGTAGGTGGTCATCCCAATTTCCTTTGAAGTCAATGACACACGCTCTCAACATGTCCTCTAGGGTTTGGATAGTGCGTTTCGCTTGACCATCCGTCTGAGGGTGAAATGCGGTACTAAGTTTCACTTGAGTACCAAGCACACTTTGGAAACACCTCCAAAAATGGGAAGTAAATTGGGCACCTCTATCAGAAATAATCGACAATTGGGGCCCCATGAAATTTCACAATCTCCTTAATGTACAACTTAGCATAATCTTCCGCCGAATAAGAAACCTTGACGGGAAGGAAATGGGCTATTTAGTCAATCTATCCACAATGACCCAAATGGAATCATGTTGCCTACGGGTTCGAGGCAAAACTACCACGAAGTCCATATTGATCTCTTCCCACTTCTAAGAGGGGGTATCAATATCTTGAGTTAGACCTCCCGGTCCTTAGTGCTCTGCTTTGATTTGTTGGCAATTTGAGCACCTAGCCACAA